ATGTAGGCCAGGCTGGCCTCAAACTCACAGAGATCTGCCTGCCTCAGCCTCCCGAATGCTGGGATTAAAGGCATGTGCCACCATGCCCGGCCAGAGAGCATCTTTATAGCACCAAGGTAGGAGCACAGAAAGCAGTACAGGTAAGAAGACTAGCCCAGCACAGCATCCTGCCTCTTAGGATGGGGAGAAGGGAGGATGGTAGTGTGGGGGATGGGATGAAGGCACTATCTGACAGCAAATTTCAGCCCCTTGGTGGAAGCCTGAGAGCCCTCACTCACCCAAGTTAGTGCTTGTTAGTCTCACTATGGTCTTAGCATCAGCCCCAAATCACAGTCACTGGGGTCCCACCTCAGAAGCTGTGTCTTCAGTGACTTACCCCTCATTTCTCTTTCCAAATGTAGTCTGGACTTACCTGGGGGAACAGGCTACCCAGAGCCATCTGGCCATGGCTTAGCAGCCTCTTGTGTGTTGTCTCTAGTGAGCATCTGTTCCTATGAGTTGGGGCCTACTTCAGGGGTCTCCCCAGCCCTGACCTAACACCTTACGCCCCACTGCCTGGGGAATATATCATCTGGGGTGGGGGGAGATGACATTGTTTTCCCTCCTGGTATACTCTCTCGCTCACTCATCTCTTCCCTGGGCCTGTGAGCTAATTGGAGAGAAGGAGGGGGAGGAGGGGGACGCTGCTTGCCTTCCCCGTTATCTGCAGCAATCCTCGGTGACTAATGCTCCCAGTTGGTAAAAAGGCAGTGTAATCAAAACACTTTTTTTTTAGTCCTTAAAGTTAGTCATTCTTCCAGAGTGGAGGAAAAAAAAAAAAAAATCCCACAGTAAGCACCACGAAATGCAAGCTGAGAGGCTCCGTGGAACCGAAGCATTGGCCTGGCAGCTCCCTGCAGGTCTGAGGTCTGGGGCCCTCCTCCTTGGGACCCGTGGCTAAGCTTCTTCCATGCCTTTGCCCTAGCTTTCCTTGCCACCTGGGTTATGGACTCCTAAAGGTCTTCCAGGCCAAGTCAGGAGCTGCCCTTTGCTCTCACCCTGCCAGGTGCTGCCATCTGCTGGCCCCAGCTTTCCAAAGGGGAGGAAGCCTATTAAAGCTATCTTTGTTAGGTGAGGTGCCTGGTCATGTACTGGTCCTTCTCCCAAAGTCAACCTGGTGCTGTGCTTCTTCCGGCTCCATATGCTCCCTCCCAGGTGTGAGACCACAGTGCAACATTGTGCTTTGACAGAGCCAAAGAGAGTCAGAGGTGGCAAGAACTGTGGGAATCATTCGAAGAGAGGTGGTATACCTTAGGGGTCAAAAAAGCAGGATCAGAGTCAGGTTGCCCAGGTTGGAACCTCTCCTTCATCACCCCTTGGCTATGCTTCAGACCCAACATCTATAAAATGACAATAGTTACAGTATCCACAGTACCTACCCCAGAGGGTTGTTGTAAGGATTAAATATTAACTGGCATGTTATGTGTGTTTCATTATTAACTAATTATCAAAACAATAGCAAAATAGGGTACTGGAGAGATGGCTCAGCAGTTAAGAGCACTGGCTGCTCTTGGAGAGGACCTGGGTTCAGTTCCCAGCACCCACATGGCAGCTAACAACTGTCCATAACTCCAATACCCTCTTCTGGCCTCCACGAGCACTGCACACACATGATGCACTTATATACATACAGGCAAAATTCTTATACACATAAAATAAAATGAAAAAAATTAAAAACAATAGCAAAATAATAAAGCAGCATGCATACCATCTTATCCCTTTGCTCATTCACAGCAGACATCACTAATCAATCACGGAATGCCCCCACCAATGGGAGATTTTCCCAGAATCCTCAACATAGCATTCTAGACAGCTAACAATGGTCAATCCAAGCTAGCATATGAAATGACACCCAGATTTACTCTGGATTCCTCACATTGTTGTCAAGGAAGATTTGTTGCAAAGGAAAAAACAAATAACTCTCAAACTACTTGAAGATAGAGGCAAGATCCAGCCCTGATTGTTGTTTGCCAGCCTGGCTTCAGATAGGACACTTCACCCTGACATGGAGCAGTCTATGTGGACTTCCCAACCTCCACAAATGCTCACGCTGATATCCTCGCCTTCTGCAACCCTGGCTTTTCCTCCCATGTCCTAGGCCCTTGGCTGCCCAGGGAAGTCCGGGTCACCTTTCTGAGCAGATGCAAAGCAGGGAGATACAGGACTGGGAATCCATGGAGAACCCTGCAGGCCTAGGTCTTAATCTGCTTCAGGAAACTCCCTAAGGCTGGCATGGTGAAAGAGTTGAGCCAACCCTAAATTTCATGTGGGAAAGGCTGGGAGAGAGCAGGATGTGACACGCCTAAAATAAGGCTCCATGGGAAGAAATTACATGATGAGTTTCTGAGTTAAAAACCCCAAGGAGAGGTCAGGGTGATAATGGGCCAGTTCTTCTGTAGCTTTGTTCATGAAATAGACCTCTGTGACTTGAAGTCTTGAAGCTCAGACATCTGGGGAGGAAGCAATACGTACCAGGAACATCACCTCTACCTGAAGCACCTCTACTCTTGGTTCTACCTACAAACCCACTCTGCTCCTGTCCATCCCTCTTCTCAGGAGCAGGATCAACCTGTATTGTGCTGTCCTTTGGTTATAGAAAGGCAAGGCATAGCTCCTAACCCTGCGGGCCAAGCTCTCCACCATAGTAGGAGACATTCACAAATTCCTGTGCACAGCTACCCAGGAAACAATACCACTCACAGGTGAGCTCAGAGGGAAGCTTGTATGTACACAGATCAGGAAGAGGCCTGACTGTCTATCCTCAGTCTAATGCCCCTCTTACTGAGACAGAGGGGCATTAGGCTCAGAGTAGACACTTCCTAGATAGATTCTGGGAATACAGCATTCTCTCCAATAACCTAGACTGTCTTGTCTGATACGTTAAAGGTTTGAAGTAGGTAGTTAACAAACCGCCCCAGTTGGGCCTCAGGCTTAATCTTTCCCTCCCAGAAGATTCACACTTAACTTCACCCCCGACATCACTGATTGCTCAGATCTTCTCTTGGGTTGCCTCTCTGTTCAGGACCTGTCTCATCTACCTCCTCTGTTCTCCTATTTTCCAAGAGCCTCTATAATCAACATAACTGTGAACTTGGAAATTAAATGAGGGAGACTTAAACAGTGTTATCCATCCATCCATTTGATCGATGAGGGAACCAAGACCCGGGGAAGGGGTCTGAGTTGCTGAAATCAGCCATGCTGCCAGGGAAGGGAGTAGAGTCTTGATTCCTCCTGACTCTTAGTCTAGAACTCATTCGTATCCTACAAAATCTGCTATCCCAACCCACAGCCCCCAAACAGACTTCCCTCGGTGTACAGGAGTGGATAATAAGTTGGCATAAACTAATATTTTTATTATATTTATCACTGTGCGCAACATCTGAGGCAGAATATGGACAAGGAAAGAAACGGGACAGAGTCATCCACAGGTGCTGGAATATCAAGGGAGTCATAAACACACAGCACCCTTCCAGCCATCTCCCCCTGTACAAAGCAGCAAGACCCATTCTCCCTCAACCCATGCTGACTGTCTAGCTGCTCTTTGGAGACATTGTTTTTCAAGATTGATCTTGTATTCGTATTTGCGTATTTGCTGAAGAATAGCATGGTGATGAAGCTGGTCAGTGTGATGTCTTTGAGGACCTACCCACCTCCCATTGGAAACTCTTTTCCAACCAAACTCCAAGTCTTCAAGCTCCCCTGCTCCTCCCAGTCTGAATCTCTGTGCTCTAGGAATTCAGGACACTTTGTTAATATCTTCCACTCTAGATCAAGGGCTTCTCTGCTCCCCAAGCAGCTCTGAAACACTTGAAGTTCATTTCAAGGAAGAGAATTCCTAGAGAGAAGGTCTTGGGCAAGGGGAGTTTAGCATGATCTTCACCACTTGCTTTTTTCTCTTTGAAAATGGGAGCTTGGGTTAAGGAACACAAGTCAAAACAGAGCCCCAGGCAATTTATGGTACACTGAGGCTCTCAATTCTGAATTTTGGGAGCCCAAAGGCAAATCAGCTATTTGCCTGTCTTCTTATAGAAATCTTTACTAAAACCCCATGTGCAGCTCTGGGGTCCCTAACAGGCTGCCTTATCATCTCATTCTGCCCCATCCTGTATTATTATTAATAATAATTAATAATAATTATTATTCCATTTACCTCTCTCTACAGGACGATGGCTCTGGGAGGGCATAGGGGCAAGAGCAATACTCCCTTCACATGATTGTATCCTTAAAGTTAGCACAGTACCTGGCACATTGTAGGAGCTCAGATGTCTATTTGTTAAATGAAAAGACAGAAATCGGAATTGTTCCTACCACTGTTGCAGACTTCTCACACACATAACCTTCCTCTTTTGTTTTGTTTTGTTTTGTTTTGTAGGCTTGGGTGTGTTGTTTGTTTTGTCTTGTCTTGAGACAGGATCTGGTTAGGGTTAGGGTTAGGGTTAGGAAGTCCAAATTGGCCTTGAACTTGCTACATCAGCTCCACTAGCCTCGAACTCACAATCCTGCCTGGGATTATAGGCATATGTCACCACACAGGGCTCTCTGTGCCTTCCCTCATTGAATACTTTCACAGAATACTCTAACATGAAAAGCACCTACTCCGCTTTCATTTGAGCTCCTGAGCCATCTTGATGGAGGGAAAAGACCCTCTATTTGTTGTAACAGGTAATGCATATGTGGCACATGATACAAATGTATCGTGTAAATGATACAAAAGGGGAGATGCAAGCCTCCCTTCCACCAACGACAGTCGCTGCTTGCGTCTTTGGATCAGAAACTTCATGCCAGACAGAGCGACCGAGATGATGATCAGGCGAAGGGCCCTGTGTAGACCGCGGACCCGCAGGTGGCCATGACTCGAGGGTCGCCAGCAACAGAAACTCCTCCTCCAACACCCAGCAGCTTAAGGGTTAAGGCGCCTGGCCCCGCCCCTTGTCCGCCTCTTCCGTCCAGAGGGGGCGGGCCCCACATCACTTCCTGGAGACTAGCTGAATCCGGAAGTGATCCCCGAGAACCGAGTTGCCGCAGAGGACCCCGCGGCCGGCGCAGGTTCGGGACCATGAGCTGGTGAGTGAGGCGGGGCGGCGGCCTCGGGATCCCAGACGCGCCCCGAGCCTGGCCCTGCGCGCTGCGGGGTCCCGGCGCCCCACCTTCCTGCCGCGACCCCGGGGCCGGCGGGCAGCCCCTGCCCCGGGGTCGTTCCGGGAGCCCTCCTCGGTGCTTCCTGGAGTCTCCATCTCTCGGCCGGACGCCCCGGGAGACGAGCTGGAGAATCCCTTATCCTGGGGCCCCGGGTCTGATCCTGGTGCCTGCTTTGTCCTCTGGCGCCTTTCCTTCCAGCTCCTTGTGAGGAGTTTCTCCCTTCCCACTTCAAAAAATAATTTTTTTATGTGTATGAGTGTATTGCCTACATGTATGTGAGCGCACCCGTGTCGTGCGATGCCGCGGAGGTCAGAAGAGGGTTTCCCCTGGAACTGGAGTTAAGGACGGTTCGTAGCCGCCATGTGGGTGGCTGGGAATCGAACCCGGGTCCTCTGCAAGAGCAGTCAGTGCTCTTAACCGCTGAGCCATCTCTCCAGCTCCCAACTTCCCTCTTTTTTTAAATGTCCATTGAGATGGAGCCAGTGTCTTCCTTCGCCCCCGTGGGCATCTCTCCAACGCGCCTGTCCGCTCCGAAGCTCTGTCCCTCAGCATGGCAATCAGGGCACAGTTCTCTGATCCAAAAACAGCTGATTTCAGACAACTGGAATTGCACCACTTAGTCCTCAAAAGACAAAGAAAAAAGTTGATTTTTTTATAGAAGGGACCAGAATCACATCCTCCCTCTCCCCATACACACACTTTAAATGCAGGATTGGACTGGTTGAATCGTTTCCAGAGCCATGACCCACTGCCCTCTCCCTAAAATAGATACAGTTAGCTTAAACCTGATGGGGACTATCATACCAAGGACACCTAAAGCAGTTGTATCAACAAGCCTTGGTGATGGTGAGCTGATGGTGGACACTTAATGATGTTTGTGGTTGGCTGTTTTCCTAAGGCTTTCTTTGCTCAAAAGGCAGTCGGTCCTGATGCTTTGGATTTTTTAAGAGTCATGACTTTTTTGCCTTCCTGGGCTTCTTTAGAAGAAGCTGCTCTGGTATGGGCCCAAGAGCCTGTATGTCCACAACCTCCGACCTCAGGACCTTCAACTGTTTATAATGCCTTTGTATGAAGAAATTGATCTCCAGAGATGTACCAGGTGAATCAACCCTCGTAGATCCCTTAATGTAGGGAACATCACTTGCCACTGAGTCCTCAGAATCTAGCCTGTTAGGCAAAGTAAGTGCATGATAATCAGTTGTGAATGAGTGAAAAGAGCAGGACCTCCTTCTGAAGTGTTCACACTTGACCTACCGGTAGAGTCCAAGCTCTGACTGCAAGTGGCTAATGTCAGTCAATGTCAAGGATGACTCCACTCTAGTGTACACTGTAAACCATTTTGCCCCACTTCTTAGACAAAGATTGATTGATGGACACATGTCAGACAGTGGGAGAAGCAGGAAAGGGAAGCCCCCTCCCCACAGTGCTCTAATAAACCCCACCAAGAGCTGGCCTTTTCCTCTCCTTCCAAGACGCCAAATGGGCGCTAGAACCCAAAAAAGCTGACTTTTCTTATCTGGTTAGAACCTAACTAGTGACAGGCAAAATAGTAGTTCTTCAGTTCCGTTTCCAAGAGGAGGTGTGTTTCTTAAGCATCATTCTGGGTCTCCCAAACTTGTGATAGTAGATGTGTTGTTTGCGCACCTTGAATCTTTGAAGCTTTCTTGCCTCATTTTTTGAAATAAAAAGCAGAACGTACAGGTGCTTGCTATTTAGACCACTATTTACAATTTGGAAATGGAATCAGTGTTTTCTTCACTATTGGGACTCGAGTGGAGTGGGGAGCCCAGTAGGGCAGCAGTTCTCTGCGTGAGCTGTGACTGATTGTTGCCGCCTGTCTTTCAGAGAGCTGCTCCTTCTGAAAACTTCGCAGCCCATTTTCTAAAGCCCATCAGATTGGAAAGAGTTGGAATTGGCAGCCACTAACCAGAGCTGAGATTTTCACGAAGTAGAACTAATTTACCAGTACAGACACATCTTGGTACCTCCTCGGAGGGTCGCAACCAAAAGGGTGGCTTTGTCCCTGGAAGCTGAGATTCTTTTCTCTTCCTCCGTAGAGGGCTTCTACGTCATCTTCTGCGTGGACCCTGACCCTCTCTCCCTGAGAGGGGACCAGCACAGGCGCCTGAGCACACAATCGCACTCAGTTCCTAGCTCAATGGCTGGCAAGGGAGTCAGGGTTGGGTCCTTCTGATTCACTCCCAGAGTGGTTTTCCTGCTCCCAGAATGAATCCATCCATTCATCTGAGAGTGGAATTCTCAGTAGGGGAAGAGACCAGAGTGACGTAGAGCCATCTTGGGAGGCTGATGCCCAAGGTCAAGTTCACCAAGTACATGGACTATGCCAAGCATCATTAAATAAGGCCTAAGGCTACCATGACCCATGACCCTCAAAGGGTACGCATTGTTCTTCACTAGGCTAGGCTTTCAAAATGTCACAGTGAGAAATGTCCAATATTGATGCCCTTTGCACACTGTGGGCTTTGCATGAAGAGTAAGAGACCTTTGTTCTCAGCTTCCTCTGTGCAGGCAGCCCACCCACCCCGTTTATTTAGTGAGTACCTGCACTACCACCCACCCACCCATTCGCCTTTCAGCAAGGCAACCCAGATCTGTCTTAATAGGAAGAAGATGGTGGATCGTCACCTCTCAGATCACTCATTAACTCCTTGGTCCCAGATCAAATGCCTCACCTTCCTTTCTTGCCCCTACAAGAAACATCTGTTTCTGCACAGATGTGTGTTCCATATGATATTCCAAGAAAATTAAGTAGAATTAAGGATAGTGACCCTAATCTAGCTAGCTGTCTCCAGGAATTATAGCTTTCCCTGGATCCACATAGCTTGATCATCTTAGTTTTAAATGATGAGGGGAGCAGGTCTAGTTGTTTGAGAAGGAAGGGAATGGGAGAAGGTACAGATCAGGTGGACTAGGACATAGAGTGCTGCGTTCAAGTTTAGGTTCTGCTGCTCATAGTATGACTGGTCAGCCTTTCTCTGTCCTGTTTTCTGCAACTGTAACATGGAATGAATAATCCCAGGAGATGCACTGCCACTCTCTTGTCTGCTGGCAAATGTAAAGACTATCTGCAGATAGGACTCTTTCCTGACAGTCTAGGCGTCTACTCACCTGCCTTTTCAACACTGGCATTCCTCAGGCTCAGTCTGAAACCTGGAAGGTGAACCACTGATGCTCCACAGGCAGGCTTCTGGTATGTTAGGTACAGGAAATGCCCTTTCTACTTAAGATCTTTTCAACTTATGATGGGCTTATGGGGCTGTATAGTGTGGTGCACATAGATGATATACAACAAACATTTGTTGATTGAATGCTTTTTAAATATTGAGAGTATATAAAGGTCTATGCTTAATGGTGAGGGGCTTTTGGAAGGCTGTAAGAATCAATCCATGTCTCCAGCCAGTGCCTGGGAAGTACTAGGGATTAAATGTCAGCATGCTATCAAGAAAGATTTTGTGAATGGGGAATATAATTTTCACTGAACTTTGACCTAGCAAGTGCCTGTTCCCGCCATAGGTTAATGAGAGAGATTCAGGTTAAAAGAATAGTGTGGAAAAGGTGAGTGGACAGAGGGTACATGGAAAGTGTTTGATGGGGAGTCAATAGGGAGCCCATTACAATAAATAATGACTGGGCAGAGGTTTCGCTGGTGGGAATTGGCACTGTGGTTGTGAACCACATTGTATAGTGTTTTCAATGCCATGCCAAGGAACTGAAATTGAGCCTGGCCTTTGGGAAATCAGAGGCTTTTGAGCCAGGGAGGTAGCATGACAAAAGCAGTGATTTAGATTGTTTTGGCAGTGGTCTGCAGGATAGCTCAGAAATGAGAAAGAATGGGGGCTGGAGAGATGGCTCAGCAGTTAAGGGCACTGACTGCTCTTGCAGAGGACCCAGGTTCGACTCTTGCAGAGGACCTGGGTTCAGTTCCCAACTCCCACATGACAGCTAACAGTCATCTGTAACTCCAGTTCCAGGGTATCTGATACCCTCTTCTGACCTCCATGGGCATTTCAGGACACAGGTGTTTCTCACATACATGCAGGCAATACACTCATACACATAAAATAAAAATAATAAAATATTTTTTTAAAAAAATGAAGCCGTGTAGACTCCTTAGATGATAGCTTCTAAAAATATGTTACAACTGGCAATTAGAAATATCTGTGTGTGTGTGTGTGTGTGTGTGTGTGTGTGTGTGTGTACACCCATGTGTGGAGGCCAGAGGTCAACCTTTGTGTTGTTCCTCAGGTGCCCTCTACCTTGTTTTTTAAGACAGAGTGTCTCACTGACCTGACAGTCACTGATTAGGCTAAGCTGGCTGACCAGCAAGCCCCAGGAGTCCATCTGTCTCCACTTCCCCAGTGCTGGGATTTCAAGCGCCTGCCATCACACCTGGCTTTTTACATGGGTGCTGGGAAGCAAACTCGGGACCTCATGCATGGAAGGCAAGCTATCTCCCGTGCCCTAGATATATTGTTGGCACCACACACACACTTGAAATAAATTTCACACAGTATATATGCAATAAACTCCAACATTTTCTGTTATGTTCTTTTTCATGTTTTAAAGAATGAATCATCTAGATTGAATTGTATGACTCCTTTTGACCTATGTACATAGTGAAACAATATGTAGCAGTTTAAATCTGTGTGCCCCATGTTCAAGCTCTAGAACCCCTAAAGAAATGTGATTAGTATTTCGCATGGATTCTAGTTTGAAAAATGCCTATCTAGGAATATAGTTACAAATATTGGTTAGCCGGGTGTGGTGGCGCACGCCTGTAGTCCCAGCATTTGGGAGGCAGAGGCAGGCGGATCACTGTGAGTTCAAGGCCAGCCTGGTCTACATAGTGAGTTCCAGGACAGCTGAGGCTACAGGGAGACCCTGCTTCAAAAAGACCAAAAAAA